TCCCTTATTTCAGTAAATATCATTTAACTGTGGTACCTCATTATTAAAATATTAATCAATATTTTGGCTGATGCAAATATATATCAGTGCTGTCTGATCTTAATTAAGAGATCTGAAACATCCTATGGCCTTTCAGACACTGTCTAGGGGCTCCTGCTTTGATTTATTTATTATATTTCTATACCATTTAATAGCCAAAGCTCTCAGGGCAGTTCACAACAATTAAAACAATAAAATACAAGATGAAAGGAATGCAAAATAAACATTTAAAATTTAAAACTAGAATATAAAATAGAAATAGTAACTAAACAGAACCTAGTCTCAAGGGAAAAAATACAATACCATGGTTTAAAACAGAATCTGAAATTTAAACATGCCTGGGAAAATAAAAAGATCTCTACTTGGTACTGAAAGGTGCCAACAGTAGGTGTCAGGTGAGTTTCTCTGGGATGCTTATTCCAAAACCTGGATGACACAAAAGATGTTCCTCTTAGTAGGCACTCAGTTCATTTGTGTTTGTCCAATTTTAGGCATTGTAATAAAACCAGTCCTTCTGTAAGGATATACAACCATTCTTGTTGTGATCTAGGGAGATCTATACCAGAGATGTGCCGGCCCAGGATGGGGCTGGGAAGAACCTGGCAAATTTTGAAAGAACCATTTTCCCTGAAGCTGTTTTTTCCTGAAAAATGGCAACACTGGAAAAAATGGATTATGGAATATTTTCTATCAGAATGATAAATAAAAAGTTAGACACAAGGTGTTCATACATTTATTCCTCCAAAATGTTTTCTCAAACCTATGTAACAGATATAAGGCTATATATGATAACTTATCATCAAAATTTTTGTGCACAAGGATCCTTTATATGCCACCTCGTTTACTAAAACATCATCAAGGCAGCACACACAACTTAAAACTTCAAAACTGCAAAATAAGAATTAAAAACCCAGGAACATTAGAAAGGCTAAAACCTTAACTACCTAATTTAAGAGGTTAAATGAAAAAGCATGAATCTTCACATCCTTTCTGAAGGCCAAGTGACAAGAGCAGGCGTGGGGGCCTTTTGTAGTATGCGAATGCAGCATAATCATATTCCTCAGTTCAGGAGCAAAATGGGAAGGAGAAAGCCCTTTCATGTGCGCCAGACAAACAGGCCTCCGCAGTAATGGTGCCCTCGAGAAGGCCTTTCCTGCCGGTCTTCTGTGAAAAGACCAAGATGAATAAGGGCTGAAATGGGAAAATCCCATTCTTCTAGCTTTATGTGGGTGGCATCTCTGTGTTGCCACGGTTGCAACGGTCTTTAGTTCCAGTCCTGAAAAACATTAATTCGGAAAGCTTCTGCAGTTCTTTCTGAATCTGCCTTCTGAACTCATGGAAGGCTTTGGGTTACAATGTTCTCTTTGTCCAATGTCAAATTGGTAGGCCATTAGCCTAAAATCAATATTTTATTGTATGGAAAGGGCAGGCCTTTAGGCTTCAAGGGCCATTTTGTTACTAAAGGCAACACGGGACACATCTTATGTCTCCCGTTCCCCCCTCCCCACAATTGCAAGCACAGGTACGGAAGATGCAAGAGAACAATGACAAGGGCCTATAATTGGAAAGCTACGCTATTCATAGTCTTTCAATACCTGTCCAGCTCAGCTATTGGCCATAGTGCCTGGGGCGGATGGGAGTTGCAGCTGAAAACAACTGGAAAATGCCAGTTTGGAGAAGGCTGGTGTACACCATAATTTCGGTTGCATAATAATATCCCACCAAGGCTGCCTTGGACTTCTTTCAGCCTCTTGGATCCTCCACAGTTAATGAAACACAAGAGGCTCGCAACAGAACCTCATATCACCATTAAAACAAACAAAAATGCCTCATTTACATGTGTGCACTGCCAGTACCATTAATGTAAATTGGTTATTAGCACTTTATGCTGAAAAGCAGTAAAACAAACCATAAAGGTGGTTTTATTAACTGCAGTTTTGCCCTCCAAAGCCCATGCTAGGAGGCACACTTGGCAATCAGGGTTTCCTCCCTCCCTGCAAGACGGTATGACATTTACACCACCACATTAACATATTTATAAACAAATTACTGCCTTCCTTTCTGCAATTTGCATTTTATAACACATCATTGGCCCTCTGAAGTTAATAGGACTGCCACGTGCAATGTTTTTGTAATTCAGTTGGAATGCTGCATTGTAATCTTTCTCCAATCGCTCTCAGGTCTATAGAGGAAGGGGTAATTAAGGAAAAATAGCTTTTACAGACGATGATAATAAAGGAATAACAAGAATGAAACCTATTTCAATCATTGCTTTCCTGGAGTGATTTGGGGACATGCAGCGTATCTGGGAAAATGAGGCTGATAAAGTTCTGCTGATGTGATGGGCCAGCTTGTTTGCAGGTCTGAGGTGTTCTTATGGAACAGGGTGTTGCAGAGATGCTCAGCGAAATGGCTCTCTGTACACAGGGTCTTTGCATCTTGAATCCCCCTGGAATCTCGGCTAAAAGAATCTGTTTTGTTTCAGAAGAGACTGAAGCACCAGAGGCTTGGGGTCTGCCAACAATGAGGCCAGAACCCCGGATGGCTGCAGAGTCAGAATCTAATTGTTCAATTAATCCTCCATTAATTAAACTCAGGGTAGTTGCTTCCATAGAATTGCAAAGTACTAGCATATGCTGCCTGACTTCCAGGTCACCAACTGACCACCTAATCCATAGAGGTACCTGTAAGTCAGCCGATCCGGAGCCTGGGTGGGCAATACAGCCCAGTCCCACCTTGAAGATGGAGCAGCTAACAAGGGTATCGCTAGGGCCCTGTTTGTTGGGGTGCCTTTTCTTTTGCATGCTTTTCTACCTGTGATGCCTTTTGTTTCTCATGCTTCTGTACCTGATATTCTTTCACAGCATGACTTCAGGACACCTGAAGGAATGTCTTTTTCCCTATATGTCCCCCTGGCCCCTAAGATCTGCAGCAGAGGCCCTGCTCTGGGAACCCTCCTTGGAGGAGGTTAGGGGAGTGAACACCTGAAGGAAGGCCTTCTCTGTGCTGGCACCCTGGTTCTGGAATGCGCTCCCCAGAGAGGTTTGCCTGGTGCAGACTGTATATGCTTTTTGGCGCCAGGTAAAAATCCTTTTATTTACCCAACCTTCTAAAGATTAAATAATGTTAATCTGGTTTTATTAATATCCTTAGTCATATTTCTCTTGTTATTAGAGTTATTGATTGTTTATATTGATTGTTTATTCATTTATATTATAGTGTAAGCTGTCCTGAGACAATTGGTTTGTATAAAAAGGTAATGGTAAAGGTTTCCCCTTGACATTAAGTCCAGTCATGCCTGACTCTAGGGGGCGGTCCTCATTTCCGTTTCCTGGCCAAGGGAGCCAGCGTTTGTCTGCAGACAGTCTCTGAGGTCATGTGGCCGGCATGACTAAACACCAAAGTGCACGGAACACTGTTACCTGCCCACCGAAGTGGTACCTTTTCATCTACTTGGATTTGCAGGCTTTTGAACTGCAAGGTTGGCAGGAGCTGGGACAGAACAACAGGAACTCACCCCATTGTGCAGATTCGAACCGGCGACCTTTCGATCAACCGGCCCAGAAGCACAGCGGTTTAAACCACTGTGCCACCTGCAGTCCCTATTGGTTTATATAAGATGGGATAAAAATGTTCTAAATAAATACATACATACATACTGTTCAAGTTAGGTACTTTAAGTCAGTCAAAGAGTCAGTGTGGTGTGCTCATTGGAATCTGTGAGATCTGGGTTCTAGTGCCCAGGTGGCTATAAGAAGTTAAGTTTAGAAGAGGGGCTCTGCCTGATCAGACAGAGGGCCTGCTAGTCCAGCATTCTGTCCACAAAGTGGCTCCCCACGTGCCCACAGGATCCCACCAGCAGGACCTCCTGCCCAGGTTCCCAAGCAACTGGTGGGCACAGGCATGGGTAGCATCCAGCAGCAGGGTCATGCCAACCACCTTGGGTTCCCTGGAGGGGAAAAAGTAGGATACAAATATACTTAATAAATAAAAATAAGAGAAAGCGCAAGGAACCTCTCTAAGGTTTCCTTTTATTCTGCGGAGTCAGACTTTGTTCTGCTGCATGCTGAGTCCAGTCTCAGGGCCCTTGAGTCCTTTGAACTCTTTGAATGGAAATCTAGCACTGCCCTTGACTGGGGCCTGGGCGCTGCTCTTGTTTCTCTGCCCTTGGCCAGCCCTCCTGCTTGGCTCAGCGCAATGTCTGACCCGGGGTCTGCCTGCCTTCCAAGGCCGTTCCTTGCAACTCTCCCCCTCTGCTCTGGTACCTGCCCCCCTTTCTGGGGCCAGAATCATTCTCTCCCTTCTCCAGAGCTATGCCTTTGCTTGCCCAGCTGCTTGTCCAGGCAGATCCAGGTTGCCAGGTGCACCCAGAGGAAAGCGTTGCCTCCTTGTAAGAGGGGTTAATGCTTCCTGCTGCCTGCTTGGTGGTATCCTCCAGAATTCAGGAAGCAACAGCTAAAGCAAGATGTATTTAAGAGACATACTAACCAAGCAACACATACTAAGAACAAGCTTGCCAAGGCTCACCTAGCTCTGGAATAGCCCTGAGTCAGCTCCAGTGCTGAGCCAGAAGCCCATCTTAAAGCAACAGTAACCTTTATTACACCTCAAGCCTTTCATACACACAGAAATAAGTATAAACAGCAATTATAACAACATTTACCTCACAATGTCTGCCTGTGTTCTATTCAGACAGCAGTCCTGGAGATTAAAATGTAAAATTTGTGAATTAATTTTCTGCTGAGTGAAGGAATAACTTATTATTAAAAAGAAATTATTATTCTTCAAATAATATTAATGTAATAATACTGTATATTGATTATTAAAAATATACAGTACAGTCCGGTGTTTTTATCCAGCCTCCGGGTTTGTTGGTGTTTCAAGGACATGCAAATGGGGCTGTGAAGTTGATTGTAGCACCTGTGCAATAGGGCTAATTTGTGTGTATGCAGCTTCCATATTTACCCGGTTTCTCTTTGGATCATATAAATCGTATAAATCTTTCGCCTTTTAGTAAAGATTTCCGTGGAGAGGAACATTTATGAGTTTCTAACTGATTTGTCGTGACCCTTTCCCCGCTGCAGTGGAGGGCAGGACGTATTCCCCCTTTTTTTTTGCACATTTTTTATTAAGATTTTAAACTAAAAAACTAAAAAATGATCAGTCATCAAATACATCAGACGTACTGGGTCAGCCCCCTATAACATATCTTTTTAACATTCTATAATCATATTCAAGTTGATTTATAAAAATTTAAAGACGTCTTTAAATCGAAGGCAGGACATATTCCAATGGAGCAACACTGACGGAACCAAGATTTAGGATGGAGGCCAGGAAGTATTTCCTGATGGTTAGGAACCCAAGGGTATGGCATGGGCTTCCACAGGAGATGGTTGAAATCCTATCGGTGAGGGTGTTAAAGGATAGACTGGACATGCACATTGTGGACATGTCATGAGCGGAGCTGGCTGGAGCCGGGGGTCAGACTAGATGGCCCAGGAGACCCCTTCTGACTCATTCTGTTTCTGTGTTTCTCCCTCTTGTGGAAGACCCACATGGAATTGTTCTCCATCTGTCTTTTTGTGCAGGCCTTGGAGCTGAGGTGATATACCATGTGGATTCTCAGAAGTCAGGGTTTTCTCATATATTGTAGTAATAAGTAATTGGTGCGAAGGCTCTTCATTCTATTGTGAGTAGCCCCCAGAGCAAAACCGAGGAAGGGACTATCAGCTGAGCAGGTCACCTCCCAATATGAACTATGTTGTTTGTTCCTATAATGGCCACTGGGCAAAGGCCATTGCAAGGGTGAAAGGGATCCAGGGAAGAATCGAATGTTGCAGGCATTTTTTGGACACCAGGCTTAATCCAATGAGAAACAATGCGAGGAGACCTGGTATGCAAACATCTCAGATACAAATATCTTGGTCGATTTGGTGCCCAAGCCTGGCTACTGCTTGGCCACCAGATCTACCAGAAATAGCAGCCCAGTTCACTGATTTTGGCATGGCTTTTTTTAAAAAAGTGCAACTATACCCAAACTGTGTAGTTATGGGGGGGAAAGGTAATTCCAAAAGAATATTAGTTAGCTTAAAATTCCAAGCCATGCCAAAGTTGAATAATTAACTGATGTAAAAATGGGTGATACTATGAAAAGTGAGCAGACTGGACTCCTGTAGAAACCTAAATGCAGATGTGGCTTACTCATGTCTTCTCCTCATATAGATGCTCCCCACAGATTCACCTGCTACATTCTGGAGCCGACTTCCCCAACTTGGTGTTCTCCAGATGTTTCAGACTTCACTTTCCATCTGCCCTAAGCAGCGTGGCCAATAACAGTAAAAATAGTGGGAGTTGTAGTCCAAAACATCTGGAGGGCACCAGGATGGGGAAGAGCATTTTAGAGAGTGTTCACCAATCTTTCCAGAACACAGGAAACAATTCTAGGTAAGTCATGTGATATTGTCAATCTTAGGATAAGAACAATGATGCCAGAAAATACTCAGTATTATTTTAGAAAACTGTACTATGCTTATGTATTTGAGCCTTTCTTTCTCTTGTTCCTAGGTATTTTTAATACCTCCAAATGAATTTGTATTGTAGTTCATGATGCTTCTTGAGTTCTACTTCCACTGCATTCCTATCCTGCCTTGTTTTGTTTTTGTAAGGAACCCAAGATGGCTTCAATGGCTTCATTTTATCCTCTCCATGACAGCCCCGTGAAGTAGGTTTGGCTCAGAGTGAGTGACTAGCCCAAAGTATGCGGCTCAACAGAACTGAAAAAGAAAAAGATCTCAGAGTAATTGTGGACAATAGACTAAACATGAGCCAACAGTGTGATGCAGCTGTCAAGAAGTATTACTTCCAAATCATGAGAAGTAGTAGTTCCTCTATACTCCTCACAAGTCAGACCTCATCTGGAATACTGTGTCCAGTTCTGGGCACCAAGATTTAAGAAAGATGCAGAAAAAATAGAAAGGGTCAAGAGGAAGGCAACAAAAATGATCCAGGGTTTGGAAACACTTCTCAATGAGGAGAGACTGAGAGAACTGGGCATGTTCAGCCTTGAGAAGAGAAGACTGAGGGGCACATGGTATCCCTCTATAAGTATCTCAAAGGCTGGCACAAAGAGGAAGGTCAAGATCTCTTCTCACTGATACCAGAGTGTAGGGCACAGAATAATCAAGTCTGGTTGTGACAACCCAGGTTCAGGCCAGATATCAGGAAAAGTTTCCTCACTGTCAGAGCAATACAGCAATGGAACCAGTTGCCTAGAGAGGTTGTGGGCTCTCCCACACTAGACACATTCAAGGCTAAACTGGACCATCATCAGAGAGGGATGGTATAAACTGGTGTTCTGCAACAGCAGTGGGTTGGACCCAATGGCCTTCATGGTCCCTTCCAGGTCTAGTATTCTGTAATTCTAGGATTCTGTAAAAGTCCCCTCATGAGCTTCTCCACTGTTTGATTCCCAGAATCCTCTATTACTTTTGTGCGGGCTTTTAAATAGAACATGATGCTAAGCAATAAAACACACATAGAAGGAAAGTGCTTGATGCATGGCATGTACTATGTGAATGGTAATCACAAACTGCTGTGTGATGCCTTTTTGTCCCCCACATCTTTGAAAATATTCCTGTGGATGCCCATGTACCATAATCTAATTTCAAAGTTCCTCTGGCAAGAGTGCTCTGTTGTCCCTTCCCCAGCAGCTGCTGGGCAAAGAGGGAGGGAGGGAGGGAGGGAGGGAGGGGGAGTGCGGGGGGGAGGGGGCAACAGCAGAGAAAAAGCATGAGAGAAAGAAAGAAAAAGCAATGGCCCTGCTCCCAAATTGGCTACTTTTCTAGGTTACCTATGAGGAAATATGCCCCTTGACTGAAAAACCTTCCCGCTCCTGGTTCATGCCTTCCTAAAGACTGTATTCTATTGTCCTTGCCGATTCAGAGGACTTCTCTTGAAATTGCAGTCTGCATGACTTTATTTATTTATTTATTTGTTTGTTTGTTCATTTATGGGCTGCCTTTTAGGACATTGCGTGCTCTTCATCATATACCCGACTAGCTGCAGCTACACAGCCTCTCTCTGGGATAATACAAGGCTCTCCATCATTCCTGCCTATAGCAGGGAAATAGTTACATAGTTGAATGAGTTATTTGGCTCTCTTTAAGATACAAAGCAAGTCTATGAGTTACACCCCCTCTTTTCAGGGGCATGAAGGGAAATTAAAGTCATATGTTTCTTTTGTAAATTGGAAGACTTAATTTTTTTCTCTCAGACTTTAATATCCCCAACAGCAATTGTGAGCAAGGAGACCATTTATCCCATTTCTAATTTTTATGTAAGAGACCTACTGAAGAATAGAAATTACTCCATTTAATGAAAGTCACATAGTTGCCTGGATTTTCAATCTTCAGTTTTGGCATTAAAGGGTAGTATTTATATTATTCATAAATTACAGTGTTCTCTAACCCAGTTATGTCTGGTCTTATTAGAGTGATACTAATTGTATTTGAGGCAAAATTGCTTGTTTGAAATGAAGGTGTAGTGGATGCAAAATGTTGTACTCATATGGGAGCTTGACACATGCCTCAGTGTGCCTAACAGCACACTCCTGTCCACGTCTACTCAGAAGTAAGCCCCATTCTGTCAATGGAACTTACTTCCTGGAAAGCGTGCATAGGGCTGAAGCTTTAATAATTTAATCCAATGATTAGTCTTTCTGTTAACACACATCTTAAAGGACTCGATGCAGTGCATACATTTTCTATGCAAAACAGCCAACTGGATGAACTATGTAAAGACTTCAAAGTTATGAAATTAGAAATTAAAGATAAATCTGCATGCAAACGGAGCAATTAGTTCGTAGTGTAATTCGTGTATTATGTTATATTCATGTAAGTCAAAATCATCATCTCTTGCCTTCGAGTTTTGTTTCTCTGAACCCACTGAGTCATGTTGACAAAAAACACCATTTATTAATTATGATTTATTAAAATAGTTCAGATGGCTTTTTCCCCGTGGTTCAAAGCAGCTCTCTCACACACAGGTGGTGTTGTGAGGGAAGTGAATTATGAACTTGGGGATAAGAAAGCCTTTCTCCAGAGAGGGCTTCACAGCTGCCTGCTCAAGCACTTCCACAGAATGGATGCTGAGGAGCTGTATGTCCTAATTTACAGCCATCTATTTGAAGACAGACTTGAAGGGACTTAGTGCTTTGCAATCTTAGTCTGACCAAAGGTAAAGAAGCATAAGAATGGACAGCAGGGGCTTCACATTGCCCACTATTATGTAGGAAGACAGGAAGGCCTCAGCAGTTATAGGCGGCCTATACATACATGTAGAAATAAATAAGATGCCATTTACTGAGTCAGACCACTAGAGCAACTAGCCCAGTGTTGTTGATACTGACTGGCAGCCATGGCTGTCCAAGCTTCCAGGTAGGAGCCTTTCCGGGTCCTACCTGGAAATGCAGGAAACCAAACCAGATACCTTCTGCATACAAAGCATGTGCTCCACCATGGAGTTACAGCTTGTCCCAAGAGCTTGACACTGATACCTGGTCATGGCCTTCCCCATTATGACAGGAGATATTGCACAATTATTTCCAAATATACATGCATATGTATATTTATATAAGCAATATTTTGTGTGAATAGGTGATGTCCTTCCTGGTGGGGCCTAAAAGTCCACCAGTGAGTGCTGAAGGTGGAGCTGTGTGTATGTTGGCCAAAGCAAAGGCCTCATTTGACCCATTGCCTCATTTGCTGCTGGTGAGACTGTGGGTTTAGCTGCTTCCACCAGTGATGGTCATGAAGTGGACTAGACAACAATGTCATGACATCACACCATGAGGTAGGTTAAGCAGGATAGAATTTTATTTTTCTTAATTCATTTCATTTCTATAGCATCCAATAGCCAAAGCTCTCTGAACAGTCCACAGCATATAATAAAATATGAATACAGTAAAGCACAATATAACATTCCTGTATGCAAATTTAAAACAGCTAAAAATCCCAATATACACAAATATAGAACAGTTTAACATTTAAAACATCTTCATTAAAAACTAGACCTAATTAAAACAGGAGACA